AAGTTAGATATGAGAATGTGCAAAACGTGACCTTCGAATTAACGATAAAAAAAATTACTAGGCCTAAATTCGGAGAGACCCGATTCAGGCATTTACATCAAAACATATAGCGACTTGTGGCTCTCTTTTGTAATGGTTCTACAACCAAAGACACAACTAAAATGTTAACATTAAAACACTCAGCGACTTGTGGCTCTCTTTTATAATGGTTTTATGAAGAAAAAAAAACTATCCATATGATCACACGTCAAATAAAAATAAAAGGGGGGGGAGAGCAAACTTAGTATTTCATGCCGCTGAATGACTGAATGTATTTTAATGAAATAGTGGCTGAAGGTAGAAAGACCCCAGCGAATATAAAAATCTCTCACTTAATTAAGGGGCTCAAGACAATTCTGTTTCATGAGTCTCTTGTGATCACGACTCATGTTTATTGTAAATTATACGAACGCTCTTTCAGTTTCTAATGCTTATACCCACTAACCCAATCAAACGTTAAGTCTCTGAGCGATACGCAGCCTTCTCATTCAACCTGAAAACTGCCTTGCATTCTAAGAAATGGGTTAAAATAATCTATCTCTCAGTAATAAAACTGTTGAGTCTGTCTTTCTGTATTTGTTTAGTTCCATTCTTTAGGCCGAGAATATCGAAAACAGCGAAAATACTCAAATAACGAATCAATGCTTTCTAATCGTAATAAGTTTTGGTTTTCTCGTTGTTTGTTGTATGACATTACATAATCTGGATCTATGTGTTAACTTGCTTTGGTTAGAAATAAACTGATAATTTGTTAGAATACACAAAATTATAAGTGGAAAATCTGTTAATACTTGACGTAATGCAAAGGATGGCTTTAAGCCTTTGTGGTAACCATTATCATCTCTCATTAGATTCTATCTCAGTACTTCTCAACTGAGTGAATGGTTCACCCAGAAGTTAATGAGATCGAAATCAGAGGGAATGGCAGGGTGAATGAGTATTATCAATTATACAACTAATTCAAGAGACAAAAAAAAAAAAAACATTAGTTATTATTATTTATTCTAGTTGTAGTTTGATAAATACATTTATTTTTTGTTGTATTCATTCTAGTTGTAGTTGATGTATATCTAGGTCATAATAAAGAATTTTGCATTTTAATTTAGTACTTTTTTGTCATTTTCCGAACTGGGGTGAATGAACTGTTGTGAAAAATTATAGGGGTAAATGATATTGGAAACAGTTGAGAAACATTGGTCTAGCTTGTATATTTACTTAACTTCAAAATAAAAGTAAGTCGTAACTGACATCCCTACATACTCTCATATCTAACTTCACTCTGTCCACACAAAGTATTCTACCTTACAACCTTGCACATTCTCATATCTAACTTCACTCTGTCCACACAAAATATTCTACCTTACAACCTTGCACATTCTCATATCTAACTTCACTCTGTCCACACAAAATATTCTACCTTACAATCTTTTACAATCGTTAATATAATGCTTTGCCGTTAATATAATAAAACCGACCCACCGGTAATCTAATAATATCTAACCAATAATGTAATAAAACCGACCCACCGATAATATAATAAAATCTAACCAATAATGTAATAAAACCGACCCACCGATAATATAATAAGATCTAACCAATAATGTAATAAAACCGACCCACCTAACTGAAGAGTTAGACTAATATAACTGAGTAACTAACTAAAGGTAATGACTAATATATCCGATTAACTAACTAAAGGTAATGACTAATAACTGAGTAACTAACTAAAGGTAATGACTAATATATCCGATTAACTAACTAAAGGTAATGACTAATAACTGATTAAATTAACTTATCAAATATAATGATTACCTGTTGAGTAACTAACTTAGAAAATAGATGAATATAACTGATGAATAACTAAAGATATGCAGACTAATATAACTCATTAACTAACTAATAGACAGAACAATAAATATACAACTACTAAAGAGATAAACTTTATAAAGATTTGGTTAATTTACTAAATAATTAGGCTAATGCTGATTAATCAAAGAGGTGGACTAATAGCTGGTTAACCAACGAAAGATGTGAATTAATAGTTAAGTAACTAACCAAAAGATGGTTAAATGTAATTATATAATTGCATTAATTAATTAATGATTAACCAACAAGTTAACCTTTAATCAACCAGACAAGGTGTATCTTATACCTCAAAACAGTTCTATACTAATGATAGCGTAGAGTTCTTACAACTAAGTAGCAAATTGTGTTCTATATTACAAAACTCATATCGTGGAAATATTTATGAGTTTAGCACATAATAGTTATCACTTATGTTGTAAAAATGTGCGCAAGAAGAACTTCAATTGCTAATCTAGGATAGTTTGGTTGAAATTCCAAATTTTGACTTTGTATCAGTAAAACGTTATATAGTTTAATACTGGCAAACCAGACGCAAATGAAACCTCGCAGGCTAGAGATCATTGTTGGATCTGAAACGGTTAAACCTGACAGGCTACACATCGATATTTAAACAGAAATAATAAACCTTACACGCTATATATCAATGATGAAACGGAAAATAAAGACTCATAGACTTTAGTATGGTATGGAATAACTGAATAATACTTACTCATACTTAACTCAAGATAATAATAGTGTCTTGGAGAAAGAAATAAGTAGCATATTCTTTTTATAGCAAACAATCAAGAGATATGTAAGACATACGATAATGAATAACTTTTAGTTATGTCAGGAAACTTCACGATATGCTTTTACATTTGGCAGAGCCTGGTTGTGTGCCCAAGGTTGTGGCCCTAAACTCGCTGAAAGTAGACTATAAAACTGTGTGTTAGATTATTAGGAACCTTTTGTGTTCTAAAAGTATTGCATATAACTCGCTTTTCATAGTGTCTTAAGGCAGTTTTTATACAGTGGTCAATGAAACAAAGACTAATCTCAAACAATAATTCAATAAAACTAACTTTAAAAAAATGTGCTCATTATCGCTTTCCATTTGACATACTTGTAAGCAGCAAGAAATTTCAGTAGTGTAAAACGTCATATGTTTCTGACTGAAAATTGGGGGACAAAAGCTGCTGAAGTCTTCTGTTTAGTAAAATTTTGATGTAGGTATCGTCTACACGCTTTCATAGCAAATTATAATTTGAAGCTGTCTAGCTTTGCAACTGGATTAGGCAACTATGTTTCGCTTTACAATAGGCCTATTTCAGTGGACATTGGATCTTCTATTATTCTACTACCGCGTAGAAAGTAGAATGTGCTGACTAAATCTGTCAACATGAGTATATTATTGGAAATTGTACTTGCCAACCTTTAATCCGTCCACTTTTAAATGTTTTAAATATTTATTGTATTGAAGTAAATTCAGAAATTACCTACAAGGTTTAAACCTTTTTTGTTTCTTTTTTTCTCTCTCTCTCTTTCAGATTCAAAGTTATGGAAGCAGGTCATGGTTCAAGAAGACAAGAAAGACATGAAAAGTCTGTAATGCTCATTTAGTTCAAGGTAAATAACAAAAGGAGAGTCTTTGGAGGTTAACTATATTTTATTGATTCTCGTAGTGCGATAAACCCGGAGATGACGGAAATTATGGTAACGATCTTTAACTGGATAATTTCAAACACGAAATATAGTAAGGCGTAATAATCTCATTTTTTATTTTTATATGAGTGAACATTATAATCCATGGAGTTTTTGATCAACCAACAGCTTTGCGGAGAATCACAGTTCTTACCTTTAGTGAACAAAGTAAGTGTTCTCCTACCAATTGTAATTATTATGAATATCATGTTGCAATTGTCCTTAAAGGATAGAAAGCGACAAATGTTATCTACTGTTTGTACATAAACAACATTGATTGTAGTGGGGAATACAGTGACCTATATATATTCCCTTGAATGAACGTTCTCTCTTTTTTATTCCGAGTGTAGTTTATTCAATGCTTCCTTAACTGCGGCAAAGGAAGCATGTGACCAGTTATTAAATCAGAGGAAATTGTAACATCTACCATGCAGTAATAATATTGGAGTTTTCGACCATAGCTTACGATCAGATGGGAAGTCGTAATTTTTCCAATGGAGCCAACATTTAGTAACATCGTCCTCATTGTTGTCTTGTCCGTGATAATCTTTCTCACTTTGGCAGGAAATACTCTTGTGATTACAGCCGTCGCGACGACACGAAGGATGCGGACAATTACTAATTATTTTGTGGTGTCACTAGCTGTGTCCGACTTATTGGTTGGATTCCTTGTGATGCCGTTGGGAGTGATGCAGGAAGTGGCTCAACACTGGCCACTGGGAAGGATAACCTGTGAACTATGGATCTCACTGGATGTTTTGTTGTGTACAGCTTCTATCTTGAACTTATGCTGCATTAGTCTGGACCGTTACTTTGCTATCACCTCTCCTATGAGATATGTTGTCAAAAGGAACTCAAGACTCGCATTAGTCATGATTGCAGGCGTGTGGGTTTTGTCAGTCCTCATCACCTGTCCTCCCTTGTTTGGTTGGCACGAAACCGATCGGCAGATTTCCCGGAAATGTGAGTATAACAGCAACATTGGTTACATAATATACTCTGCTTTAGGGTCGTTCTACATACCAGCTTTGGTCATGTTGTATGTTTACTACAGAATCTTCGCTGTGGCCAGGAAGCGAGAATCAGTTCTGACGGACAGTTTTGGCCCATTAGACGAGGGGGGTAATTCATCTTGTCCCGGGGACAATACTAGCTCGAGTCAGGAAAGATACAGAACCCACAGAAACACCGAGTCCGTTGTACAGATTGACATAAGTCCAGCTTCCAATGATCAAGGTACAGGATTGGACAAAACAAGTGACAGGGACTCCGATAAGGGCCAGTATTTAGCTTCAGTCCCTTCTGTGCGAACAGCTTTAATACTCGAAACCGTCTATGATAATGACAGAAGGTTAATGAGGACTTATTCTTCCACTGAATCTCGCGAAACGTCTTTCAGCAACATACCCCTCTGTCGCAGTTTAAGAATAAAAAAAGACCCATGGCAGCGTAAACAAGGCTACGAAAAAGCTGCTTTTCAAAGAGAAAGAAGGGTCGCAAAATCTCTATCTGTGGTAGTAGGAGGATTTGTTTTATGCTGGCTTCCTTTCTTTATTTTGTACATCATCGAACCTTTCTGTGTAAATCCATTCTCTCCCGTCCTGTGGTCGTGTATGGTGTGGTTAGGATGGGTCAATTCTGCTGTGAACCCCTTTATCTACGCTCTCAACAATACAGACTATAAAAAAGCCTTCGCACGCTTGACCATAGACAAGATTAGGAAAACGAGGAGGACAGATGTGGCTAATTTTATCTGAATTTTCATCCTCAATGTTATTGAAAGTTGGCATCATGCTAGAATTTAAAAATGACTATATTTGTTGTTAATATTGTTGTTTATTGAAATGATTTCATTGTTGTTCAAATGTACAAACATCACATTTGTTTCCAGAATAAGAATAAATCAAAAGCTTCTGCTATGCTAGAAACCATTTGATTCATTTTATTACCGATAATCTTAATAATATGGTCAGTCACATTATTCGGTCAGACAAATGTAGCCCAAGGTGTGTGTTATTGACCAGTTGCTTTTCCTCTAATTTATCAGTTCAAAATTATAGATAGCGCTTTGTGAAGCTTTGCACAATAATTCTGAGTAAAAAAAAAACTTAATATTATGAAGAAGCATCTTTTTCAATGTAAAATATTCAAGAGTTCTGGGTAGTTTTACGTTTCAATTTCTAAACTATTTTAAAACTATCCAGAAATCATAGACTGCAACTATCACAAAAACCAAAACCTTTTGATCGTAAACATTCTTAAGCACTGAATATGTAAACGATTTGGTAGAGCGAGAGAACAAACAACTAACACCTACCTGTGGGCTAATGTATAGTGTTCAAAGTAAGACAAAATTACGCTGCAAACTGGATATGTTTGTTTTAACGCATTCAATACCCACAAACCTTGAAGGTAATAAACAGCTAGTGACAATAATATATCTTGAAACTAATTATCACTCATTGTCAGTTCCTTAGTTACGTCTGAAGTATGTTATTATTAATCAGTTAGGAACAACCTTGCCACACTGTATTAAAATTACTGTTCTCTAACCAACAACACGTTTTTACATTATCACTCATTGTCAGTTCCTTAGTTACGTCTGAAGTATGTTATTATTAATCAGTTAGGAACAACCTTGCCACACTGTATTAAAATTACTGTTCTCTAACCAACAACACGTTTTTACATTATCATGAAGATTCAAGAGTAAATGATTTTAAAAACCAGTCATCCACGTAAACTTTGCCACTGATTTCAAACTGTTATCATTATTACACTTATCTTCTGTTTCTGTAGAAACCGTATCATTGATTATTTCACAAATCCAGATTTATTTTTCTTTTTGCATTAGCAATTTCTAGCCCATGTCGTAAACTAACATTGACTAAACCCTTGCTAATGTCTTCAGTTTGTTTTTGTCTTATTACAAAGTCCCGCGGTGGGACAGCGGTAAGTTTTCGGACTTACAACGCTAAAATCAGGGGTTCGATTCCCCTCGATAGACACAGTAGATAGTCTGATGTGGCTTTGCTGTAGGAAAACACACTCACCTATTTAAAACGCGCTAGATACCATTCTATTTCAATTTTTCAGCAGGCCTTACAGCACGAGCACATGATACGAATCACGCGTTGATCTAAGGTCCTTGATATCAACAAGTTGCTATATTCCATCAGTGAGAACAACCATACTTAGCTATGGCGAATTGCATGGCATCATAATAGGAGTAATTGTTGCTACTATTTTGTGGTAGTTTGAGTTGTTAAAAATATCTTCTCAAAGTAAGTGCTTTAATCATATGGTAAAGTACTCATTTTGCATAAGCGAGGTCCTTGTGTAACGTCTAAAATAAACACTGCTACAATCAGGGGTTAACAACAAAAAACGAGGACAATTTATTCAACAATAACAACATTTAGAAATAAATTCAACACTTACCAAAACACCGTTAATAAACACGTACCTGGCCAGAACTTGACACTAATATTAATAAACAGTATGTCATAAATATCAATATTATTTCAAATAATGGAATCAGGAAAAAGAAGAAAAAATCTAATGCCAAAGAAAATACAGCAAACAATATTTCAAAAAATACCTTTCAATATTAATGAATATCGAGTGATAAACAGCAACAATTCATTAACTGGATCGTTCACTAACTATCTCGTGACTCTCTCGTCTAGTGAAGGTTCTGACAGTGTATTTATTCACAGAGTAGGTCACGAGAGTACATCTCATGTGGTGATAAATTTACATAATCGTGTGCTACATTAATAGTATCTGTACGTCACCAATAGAGAAGCTGGTATCAGTTTTATCATACATACATATTTACCCAAAATACAAATGATTAACTAGAAGGTGAATTAACGTTTTAATGCATCTAAAACTCATAGGTAGATAGAAAAAAAAAATGATAGAAGAAAATAATAAATGAACGATAAACACAACCATAATAATAATAAAATAGAATTTGCTATCTCACACTCGGGCATTCAAAATGTATCAATTGTAACAATATCGAGAAACTGCCAAACAGCTAGTGGTCACCCTGATACTAAGATTAATGAGGCGACTTGTTTGTGAAAGGGGAAAAATGTGGTAGACAAATAACCAGAGTTGTTGAAAATATCTTACTATCAATTACAAGGGTTTGACTTTTATCTGAGTTGATAGATCGCTTGTTTAGTGCTCAAGAGGTAGCAGGATCGAACCTCAAAGGTAACATGGAAATGATACAGTTCGCTTCTCTTTTCGAAACCTATCTAAGAAATCAGAGTTTACTAACATTGTACAGAAGCACAGTTTTAGAAACAAGTTTTGTTGAATTATAACCCTAAAGCATGAACCAGGATCTACTACACGAAAACTGGATTAACAAAATCAGGAAAACTGGACATATCATTAACATAACAACATTACGTAGTGTCAGATAATAGTAAACTTTTTTTTATTTTTATTAGTAACTCTCTCATTGTACAGGGTCAGCTTCTTCGTGGTTGTACTTATTTCCACCTGTCGTCAATGGTCTATCATCCTTTGGCATTTCGCACTGAAGCTACCTCCTGTTGACGGGGAACAGGATACATAGATGTGCTTTATCTGTGATACGGTTATTAAAAATTATTACGTACTCACGTTTATGTTTACCACTTTCTTTCTATTTGGTTAATGTTTTTCTTTCTCTGCTAGAAGTAGATTTTGCTCATTTTATTCTAATAATGACCTGTGTTTTCTTCTTGCTGTGTGGAAATAACACCAAGTATTATATATCATAGTTGTATTATGGACTGTTGTAGATGTATGTATTATGGACCTGTTCTGCTTGCTTATCGTATTAATCTACTTCAGTACTTTACATCTTTTCCATTACCACGCATAAGATAACTTTGAAAGATAAACACAGAACCAGAAACCTGATAAGCCTTAGAGCTTGAATACAAAAAGTCTATATCTCTTGAAATAACTCGATTTATCCGATTTCTCGTTTTTAAATTTCTATACTATTTATTCTTAGTATCATTAACTTCATTGTTAATGGAATTTCTGGATCTTTTTTCCCATTGCTACTTATTACTACAAGGTATTAGAAACAAACGCTGATAATGTTATCAATTAATTCCTCTCTTAATCAAAGAGAGGGGACGCCGGTAACAATAAAAATGTATTTAATAGACATCATGGATTAGCACAGATTTTATCACGAATACACTAGAAGAAACGGGAAATGTTTACGAAACTATCATATCATATTTAAAAACAACAACAACAAATACGTAAACACGACTATAATTAAACAGAAAACTAATAAAAAGGATAGAGCTAAAATATCCGGATGTGTTAGCGTGTGTCTTGGTATCAAGTGCATGATATCTCAAGTGGATTGAAAAGTCACAAAGGATATATAGATTTAACTTAAAATGTATCTAGAAATAGAACCTAAACTTACCCAAGCCGAAAGATAAGGAGCTTTTCTTGACCAACCTTCTTATCTTTTTAAAAAGTTGATATGAAGAACGTCTCAAAACAACAAATATTTGACAAAACTAAGAAAATGCAGACTAAGGTTAAAATCTCCTTACTCTTAGAAATAGAGAACAGCGATTGTGTTCAGAAGATGGGAGAACCATAGTTCACATTGTCATGTGATCAACAAGGTTTTATTTTTTATAAAGCCTGAAACACTAAGCAATATGTATACTCATATAGACACACACACACACAATAAAGTATCTACTAAATAAACAAACCACTATTTTTAGTTAGCTTGTGTCCGTTTTTCTCAACCTCACTGTTTTATAGTTGCTCGTGTTCGTTATTTTCAAACTCATTGTTTCATAATAAATTGTGTTAATTGTTTTCAAACCCACAGTTTTATAGTAGCTTGTTTACACTGTACTCAAATCCTTAGTTTCATACTCGCTTGATATCGTTGTTCTCAAACCCATTGTTTGAAAGTAACTTGTTTTATAGTAGTTACTACTTTATTATTGTTATCAGCTCTGTGAAATCCAAATGTTTGAATTCAGCTTACTTGGGTTATATACTATCTTTCAGTACTGTGGTGGTCAGAATACTGACTATTTTATAAAAATAAGCCTTTCTACGTTTTACAAGAGTAAGAAAACATTATGAATTTTAAAATGTGTGTATTATCTGTAAGCCAAAGTAAGGATTAAATTTTATAAATTTGTGATTGTGGTTTTAATTGAAATAAGTGTATAAAGCTGCCAAAGTAAGGATTAAATTTTATAAATTTGTGATTGTGGTTTTAATTGAAATAAGTGTATAAAGCTGCCAAAGTAAGGATTAAATTTTATAGGTTTGAGATAGTGGTTTTAATTGAAATAAGTGTATAAAGCTGCCAAAGTAAGGATTAAATTTTATAGGTTTGAGATAGTGGTTTTCATTCTTGTTTCAATATTTTTTATGGCAGGATCCCTACTTTATTTTAAGATTCATATTTTTAATACTCTTGTTTGTTTACTTTTTATGTTATACCTGTATAAAGTATACAAGAATTAAAACCACAATCACAAATTTATAAAATTTAATTCTTACTTTAGCTTACAGATAAGTGTATAAAGCTGCCAAAGTAGGGATTAAATTCTATAAATTTTGTGATTGTGGTTATAATTCTTGTTGCACTACTTTTTGTAGCAGAATCCTTACTTCATTTTAAAATTCATAATTTTTAATACTCTTGTTTGTTTACTTTTTATGTTAAACCTGTACAAAGTATATATTTTACCTTTATAATCTGTCGCGTGTCTATACGTCGATATGTAGCGCCATCCGCTGGGTTAAAAATATATTTAAGTACGCGCATGATA